TATCTATCTATCTATCTATCTATCTGTCTGTCTGTCTGTCTGTCTGTCTGTCTGTCTATCTATCATCTCTTTATCATTATCTATCTATCTATCTATCTATCTAGCTATCTATCTATCTATCTATCAAAAAGATGGTACTATTGCAATTAAATATCTGATTATAGGAAGTAGAGTATATGCTTTATTGTTTATCGTTTATTCCTTCTATCGTTTGTTCATTCTGTGTTTTTTCTCTGACTGTAATGCTGAAATCACCTCAGAATGAAACTCTTCCCTCTTTCAGCAGTTTTATCGGTGTTTCTTCTTGACAATCGTAGCTTTTCTATCTCTCCGTCTGTCTGTGAGCTGGTGATATAGCGCGGTGTGAGCTGGTTGATGTAGTCTGTGTCTGTCGGTCTCATCTCTGTATGTCGTCACGCAGCAGCTCTGCAGAAAGAGCGCAGGCTGATTTTACACAGAGAGAACACAGAGAGAGATTGATGGGCTCTGAGGGTGAGCTGTCATTTAAGATCTGTGGGAAATCACTTACTGAATTATTGAATTTTTATGTGGAGTCCATAATTATGATATAGTTGACACAAGCAGCGGAATATGCGAGGCTCATAATTAACTTTTTCAATTGTGGTGAGCTAGTTAGCTGGTTTCACTTTATACTTGACTTAATTTCATTCTCTCTGTCTCTGTCTCTCTTTAGGGGGGTTAGGTCTGGATCTCGGCCCCCCCCCCCCAGTGGACGAGGCAGCGAACACGTTGATGACTCGTTTCGGCGTCCTACTCCGAGAAAAAGTGAGCGAGGGGTCTGAAGGGCCGCAGTACAGCATGGATGAGCCTGATGACGCACAGGTTATTCATCCTCACCTCCTGCAGTAAATACACACCTCCTTAACATGCAGAAGATGCTCAGAAAGGCCCAATCTCACCTGTTTCACCCTGAAATATTAGAAATGACAACATATTAAGAAAAGTGACTTTTTTTTTTGAAGATTTAATTTATTGTGATGTTATTTTCATGACAATTAAACACATTTTGTCATGTCCAGATGTTTTAGTTTTTAGTATTTCTGTGATTCTTATTATTCCTAAACACGCTGTAAAACAGTACTGTTTGTACTATAATATAATATAATATTACAGTTTTTTTTATCAATAGCTTTGGTCCATTTTTGAACCAGACTTAATAATCTATAAATTGTAAGTGCATTTGTCACTGTTTTATGGGACAATTGCATGTCTGCAAATGACTTAATGGCTTAAATATAATACTCAGTCATTCTTCAAACCCTAGTTACTGTGTCAGTAAAGGAGTAGGTTTAGTGTTAGGGGATAGAAAATATTGTTTGGTCAGAATAAAAGTAATAGAAGTCTATGGAAAGCCCCACAATTCACAGAAACAAACATGAGTGTGTAGTGTGTGTGTGTGTGAGAGAGAGAGAGAGTGTGTGTGAGAGTATGTGTGTGTGTGTGTGTCTGTGTGTGTGTGAGAGAGAGTGTGTGTGTGTGTGTGTGTGTGTGTGTGTGTGTGTGTGTGTGTGTGTGTGTGTGTGTATGTGTGAGTGTGAGTGTGTGTGTGTGTGTGTGCAGACTGTCACTCCGATCTTAAGTGCTTGTCAGTGTTTTGTCTGTCATGATGTTTGATGGTAATGATGGGCAGGACAGAGATGAACTGATGAGCCGCACTGAGAGTACAGGTGTGTGTGCAGGGTTTAGGAGTGAGCGGGAGGATGAGTCCGTGCTCCACTCTGACCAGCAGCACCGCCTCGCCCCCCGCCTGCAGCCCCTGCTCCACCCTTCCTCCTGCTGCTCCGGGACAGGCCTTCAGCAGCCCCACCTCCACCCTGGAGAGCAGAGACAGCGGCATCATCGGTGAGTCCCTGCCCTGGGCTTACCTGTGAACTGGGGTTTCTAAAAGAAGTCTCTTCTGCTAATCAGGGCTGCATTTATTTGATCCAAAGTACAGTAAAAATCATGAAATATTATTACAATGTAAAACAGCTGTTTTCTATATCTATCTGTTAATCAATAGCAGCAAATCAGCATATTATACTGATTTCTGAAGATCATGTGACACTGAAGACTGGAGTAATGATGCTGAAAATACAGCTGCGCATCACAGAAATACATTACACTTTAACAAATATTCAAAATAGAAAGCAGTTATTTTAAATAGTAAAAATATTTCACAATATTACTGCTTTTGCTGTATTTTGGATCAAATAAATGCAGGCTTGGTGAGCAGAAGAGAATTCTTTAAAAAACATAAAAAATCGTACTGCTCAGAAACCTTTGACTGGTAGTGTATGTTTTGTCAACAGTGAAATCATAATTGTTGTTTCTTAAGTTAAAATCACAATCTAGTGAAAATCAGGTGCCTTTTCTAAAAGCTGATTGGCTCTTTTGACCAAAAGGAGGGAATTCTGTTCCTAGAGCTGCTGTATGGTGCATTTAGGTCCTCTGGGAAGTTCATATTTACAAGTCGAGATAATGAAGCCAAGTGCATTCACTCTGGTCAGAGCGCGATGGCAATACCTTTAAAAATAAAATCAGCAAGATTTGTAAACTATGCTTCAACAAAATGATGAATAAAGCCCGGGCATTTTATTGCTTTTAATGTTTTTATGCAACATATGAAGATGCTGTAAATTGAATCATAATCTGTATTTGTACATGCAACTTGAATAGTTTTATTGTAAATGAAAGATCATTTAATGAATTCAACAAATTTACCGTCAATAGAGACGCTTCATCCGTTGCAGGTTGCGATTCCAATAATGCAACTAGTGGTGCAGGAATTTCACTCTTCATCTGTAAAGATATTTTTAAGGCTCTAAAGCATATCTAAAGATAATGCGCTGAAAATCAAGCCAAACGATGCTCGTAAAACTGAGCGCTTCTGCAGGAGCTTAATTGGTGCAATCACTTTTCATACGGTAACCCTACTCACAGTCCTCTGGGGAACTGATCCGTTCTAGCACAACTTTCTGACCTGATCTTGACAGCTTGTCTCCTCTTTTCCCAGCCACCCTGACCAGTTACTCGGAGCCGATGGACAGGAGTGGGAAGCACGGGGACGGCTCTCGAGGCAGCAGCCTGAAGCTCTGGCACTCGCACAGATCCACTCTGGACTCCAGTCTGTACCGCGTGGATGAGAACATGACCGCCTCCACCTACAGCCTCAACAAGATCCCCGAGCCCGGCTCCGCCCACTGCTCCACTCACCCCGCCCCCCTCTACCTCATGCCCCGCCCCAACTCAGTGGCAGGTGAGCGAAGCCCCGCCTCCTCCGGGTGAGGTTCTCTTGATCAGCGGTCATGTGATTTCCTGTTGTGCCGCTCGATGCACAGAACAATCCCGCTGCTTAGTGAACAGCTTCCTGCGCACAGCCCAAACTCACTCATGTAGATTACTGAAACGTGTCGTACAGGGCTGGCTGACATTCAGAATATGAGAATCGGGATTCGGCTCTGTTATAGTTCATGACTTTTGGGATTTGAATTGAATTGACCACAAACCACAGGATGCTGAATTGGAATTGCGATGAAAAGAAATTCAAGTCACACAACAACAAAATACACTAGAACAGCTGTCAACGTTTTCCTCTTGCAAGTTTGCTTGCTTCATAGAATGAGAGTTAATTTATTAAAGGTTATGAAATATATACAATTGATCAAATTTCATTCAATTTCTATTACTAACTTTATGAATATTTAACATTTATTTATAATTGACTTTTAATGTTTTAGTATTCATATTGGAATATATAATAATGATAATATTAATTTAATTCTATCTATCTATCTATCTATCTATCTATCTATCTATCTATC